ACCGCGGTCCCCACACCTGTCCGAGGGAGGCCGGGGACGACGCGAGAGACGGAGGACGCGGTGGGAGCACCAGGACCTGCCCTGTGTGTGAGGTCGCGGGCAGCGAGAGGGGGCTTCACTGCTCACCTTGATCTCACTGTCCAGCAGCCGTGTGCGCTGGATGATCTCTTCTGTGGACATCTTGAGAACCTCCTCCCCGATTCCATCTTGCTGTGAAAAAAAATAATTTTTTCTTTTTAAATTCAAGGCAGTTAACTCAGCACTGTGACTTAGCCAACTCTTCGCCTCAATTAACCCACTATACGCCAAAAAAAAAAAAAAAAAAACCGAATGGAGTCGCGACCAAACGTCCCCAATCCCGGGACAGGGCTCGACCCTGACCCCCGCAGCCACCGTCTCCCCTCCCGCCAGCGGGGTCTCCCCGTGGCCCGGGCTCCAGAACCGCCAGCTTTCCCAGCGCGCACCTCAGCTTCGTCCCACACAGTCGCCATCTTCTCCTGCCGAGTCACTGGACTCTCGAGTTTCGGCAGCAGATTCACCACTTGGAGAAGCAGCCTGAAGGTTAATCCGGGCGGCAGCCGCGGTGAGAGATTAATATTACCTCTCTTTACGTCCGCTCTTGACTAGTGAGACTCCGTCAACAAGTCCTGACTCTTGAAAAAAATTAGCTTGGGCCGCGTTGCGGCGGCGAATCTGCTGCTCGAATTCAAAAGATGAATCCCAGGCCACAGGACCCGCCCCCGCGGCTGCTGAAAAGTTCCCGCCCTCGTCTTGTTTCTGCCGCAGTGAGAGGAAGAGCGCTATTGGCTGGCACGTCCAGAGGGAGACTAGAAAGGGGCGAGAGAAAGACCCAGTGTCCCCAGGGCCCTTGGGAAATGTAGTCCTAATCAGGCGCGTCACAGGGTGCTTTTGAAGGAGGGTTGCGGGGGGCGGTCTTTCAACGGCAGAATCGGCCTAGTTAGGGATTAGGGGATTCCCCAAAATGAGTGAGCCTCATCCAATCAGTTGAAGGCCTGAATAGCTCCAAAAGGCTGAACACCCCCAGAGATAGAGGGAACTGCTTCTTCCTGACTGTCTTGAGCTGGGTTTCTTCTAGGCTTGGGTTCTGTGCTTAGTCGCTCAGTCGTGTCCAACTGTTTATGACACCGTGGACTGCAGTCCGCCAGGCTCCTCCGTCCATAGGGATTCTCCAAGCAAGAATATTGGAGTGAGTTGCCATTTCCTCCTCCAGGGGATCTTCCCAACCCAGGGATCAAACCCAGGGGATCTTCCCAACCCAGGAATCAAACCCTACAGGCGAATTCTTTACTGAGGGAGCCACAAGCGAAGCCCAAGAATATGGATCCAGGTTTGGGACTTACACTGAAATATCAGTCCTTACACTTGATCCTTGGAAGAGAAGTTATGACCAACCTGGACAGCTTATTAAAAAGCAGAGCCATTACTTTGCCAACAAAAGTCCACCTAGTCAAAGCTATGGTTTTTCCAGTAGTCATGAATGGATGTGAGAGTTGGACTATAAAGAAAGCTGAGCACCGAAGAATTGATGCTTTTGAACTGTGGTGTTGGAGCAAGACTCTTGAGAGTTCCTTGGACTGCAACGAGATCCAACCAGTCCATCCTAAAGGAAATCAGTCCTGAATATTCATTGGAAGGACTGGTGTTGAAGCTGAAACTCTAATACTTTGGTCACCTGATGCAAAGAACTGACTCCTTAGAAAAGACCCTAATGCTGGGAAAGATTGAAGGTGGGAGGAGAAAGGGATGACAGAGGATGAGATGGCTGGATGGCATCACCAACTCAATGGACTTGAGTTTGAGTAAACTCCGGGAGTTGGTGATGGACAGGGAGGCCTGGCATGCTGCAATCCATGGGGTCGCAAAGAGTCGGACACGACTGAGCAACTGAACTGAACTGAACAGGGTCTTGTGCCTGTTGGCTTTCAGACTAAAATGTATACCAGCAGCTCCATGGGATCTCAGGCCTTCTGATTCAGACTGAAACTAAACCAGCAACATTCCTGGGTTTCCAGTTTGCCAATTTACCCTACCTACCCTGAAGGTTTCCCACCTCTGTAATTGTATGAGCCGGTTCCTTATAATAAATCTCTTTACATACATATATGTCTCCTATTGGATCTGTTCCACTGGGGACCCCTACTAATACTTCTTAAAATCTGTTATTTTGAAAACTGCAAAATATTTAAAAATTGAAAGAATAAACAATGAATACCTATATATCGTTCACCTAGATTCACTAATTGATTTGCATTTTCTTTTGCTCTCTGTGTATTTTTCTGAACTATTTCAAAGTACATTGCAGACATCATGTTACTTCACCTCTGATATTTCAACTTTTGTCTCCTAAGAGTAAAGACAGTCTAATAATGGAACTCCAATATATTATAGCATAGTATACCTAAAGAATTTAATATTGAGGCAATAAAATCTAATATACAGTCCATATGGACTTCTTCAATTATCTCCAAAACATATCTTAGAGCCTTAAAAAAAAAAAAATCCAGTATCAAGTCAAGAATCACACGTGGCAGTCAGTTGTCAGGTCTCTACGTTCTCCGTTTAGAACAGTCTCCCAATCTTTTTTGGCCTTTCATGACACTGACATTTTTGAAGCATCCTGGCCAGTTGTCTTGTGTACTCTGTTCTCAACACAGCAACCAAAGGAATTATTTTAAAGCCTTGTTAGATCATGTCACTCCTCTGCTCAAAACCCTGTGGCAGCTGCGAGACAGAGTAAAAGCCAAGGTCCCTGAAACAGCCTCGCGGGTCCTGCGGGGGGTTTTGTGCTTGCTGCTAAGTCGCTTCAGTTGTGTCCAAACTGTGCAACCCCATGGACTGTAGCCCGCCAGGCTCGTCTCCCCATGGGATTCCCCAGGCAATAATACTGGAGTGGGTTGCCATGTCCTCCTCCAGGGGATCTTCCTGACCCAGGAGTTGAACCCACATCTCTTACATCTCCTGCATCAGCAGGTGGGCCCTTTAACACTAGCCCCACTTTTTTCCTCCCCCACAGTTTTCTTCAGGACCTTGACTCCCACTCCTTTCCTCCCTGCCCACAGTTACACGGCTCCTTGTTGCTTAGAGATCAGGCCAGGCCAACTCCTACCTTGGCCTCTGTTCCGCTGTCCTGAAATAGTCTTTCCAGGATATTTTCTTGATTCACTCCCTTACCTTGCTCCTTCAAGTCTTTGCTTAAATGCCTCCTTCTCATCCAGATCCACTCGAACAGCCTTTAAATGCTGCAGCCTGCACCTCCTGGGCCTTTTCTGCTCCCACACTCCGCAACCCCTTACCCTGTGCTATTCTCTTTTTTTAAATTATATATTTTTATTTTAAAAATCTCAAACCTAAAGAAAAGTTTCAAATACAGTGTAAATAATTTTTTTCTTGAATCTTTTGAGAGAAAATCCCTAACTAAATACTACATTTCAGATACTTTGGTGGGAATTTCCTACAAACAAGGACATTTTCCTACTTAAGCACAATACAACTTCAGTACCAATAAGTTAACCTTGATATGTTTCTACCATCTAACCCCTAGACTCCATTCAGATTTCATCACTTGTCCCAGTAATGTTCTTCACAGCATTAAAGGACAGACTGCATTCAGACTTGGATTCAGTCCAGAATCAAGATCGGAATCAGGCATTGTATTTAGTTGTAGGGCTTTAATTTCTTTCAATCTGGGATCGTTTCTCAGTCTTTCCCTGGCTTCATGACCTTGACACTTTTGAAGATTACAGTTACTTTGGAGGATATTTCTTTCAAAAAAAAAAATCTGGCATTAACAGTCTTTTAAAAAGTTAATGAATGTATTTATTTTTTAGTTGCGGCAGGTCTTCATTGTTATCCACGGGCTTTCTCTAGTTGCACTGACCGGGGGCCACTCTCTAGTTGTGATGCTTGGGCTTCTCATTGCAGTCTCTTGTTGCAGGAACAGGCTCTAGGGCTCCTGGGCTTCAGTAGTTGCAGCACATGGCTCAGCCGTCCTGGTGCAAAGGCTTTAGTTGCTCCACAGCATGCAGAATCTTCCAGACCAGGGATCAAATCTGTGTCCCCTGCATTGGCAGGTGGATTCTTATCCACTGGACCACCAGGGAAGTCCTGTAGAATATTTCTACATTTGTGTTTATCTGGTGTTTTCTCATGATTTTACATTCACATGATTCATCTTTGCAGGAGCCTCACAGAAGAGATGCTGAGTTTCTCACTCCATTCATTCAGGTAGCAGCTGATTTCATTTTGTCTCATTACTGGAGATGTTGATCTCTCTCAATGATTAATCTGGTTCTGCAAACCTTCTCCATGGTGAGGTTTTTCCCTTAAAATTGACAAGTATTTTGTGAGGAAGTACTTTGAAACTATGTAAATATCCTATTCTTTTTATAATCAAGATTTCCATTTGTTCATTTATTTATTAACATCAGTATGGATTTTTAATCTAATTAATCATTACTATGCACTGAATTTTGTATCCCTGACTCCAAATTCATAGGTTGAAGCTCTAACCCTCAATGTGACGTATTTGGAGATGGGACATTTGGGAAGTAATTAGGGTTCGATTAGATCATGAGAGTGGGGCCCTCATGATGGGATTAAAGAGAGGAAAATCTTGCTCTCTCCTCTCTACATATAAGCACAGAGAAGATGCCATGCAGGGACACTGAGAAACGGCTGTCTGCAAGCCAGGAAGGGGGGCCTCACCAGGGACCAACCCTGCTGGCACCTTGATTTTGCACTTCCAATCTCCAAAACTTCGAGGAAATAAATTTCGGTTATTTTAGCCACCCGGTGTGTGGTATTGTGTTATGGCAGCCTGAGCTGACTAGAAGAGTCTTTCTTTTTTTTTTTAGGGAGGGGATGTATGTATACCTGTGGCTGATTCGTGTTGATGCATGGCAGAAACCAACACAATATTGTAAAGCAATTATCCTTCAATTAAAAATAAATACAATTCATTCTGTTTATTTATTGGCTGCCCTGGGTCTTCACTGCTGCGTGCAGGCTTTCTCTAGTTGCAGCAAGTGGGGACTGCTCTCTGTACTCTCCCGCTGTAGCACGCAGGCTCAGCAGTTGTGATGCATGGACCTAGTCGCCCTGTGGCATGTGGAATCTCCCTGGACCAGGAATCGAACCCGTGTCCCCTGCGTTGGCAGGCAGATTCTCGCCCACTGGGCCACCGGGGGAGTCCTCTGACGGACTTATGTGTGGCTGGTTTGCTGTGTTTGTGCTGCGTCCTCTCGCCCACCCCTGCGCGTCAGCTCTCACAGGTGCTGCTCGCCAGCAGGGTCTTGCCTCGGCTCCCGCTGCAGCCCAAGAAGCCGGGAGGGCGGTGGAGGCACTCGTCCTGTGTGCAGAGAGACAGGGGTGTCTGAGGAAGCCCGCTGCTCTCCCCCAGCCTTGGGCAGACCATGGGCGGGGAAAGGCCGAATCACTGGGACCAGGTACCAACGGTTTTATTTTTCTAGAAAGAGCAAAGTCCAGAGAGGCGGGGGAGGGCAGGCCGCTGGGCCAGGCGGAGCCGCGGTGGGCAGGTCGCAGGGGGCGCCCCCTGCGACTTCCCCAGAAGTAAACAGGCATGGCAGAGGCTCAGCCAGTCGGGGCCCTCCAGCGTGAGGGCAGAGAAGGGGCAGGGGAGGTGAGGTGAAGTCCCCGACCTGCTGGGTCACACGAAGCCAGGCTTCATGGACGAGCGGCGGCAGTTGGGGCAGCTTCGGGTCCCGTTGTTCTGCAGGCACCTTCGGGTGGGGAGGAAAGGGCGCTGTCCACTCGGCCGGCCTGGCCGCCCACCCTGGACCCGGCTCCCTCCTCCCCTCCCCGCGGCAGGCAGCCCTGCTGACCCCTGGCTCTGTGCCCGGGGAGGCCTGCAGGCCAGAGCCTGGGCCAGGGGTCAGGCATGGGTGAGGGAGGCACCTCTGGCCCCGGGCGCCGCTCTCCCATGACTTTCAAGAAGTCTCTCTCTGTGGCCTCTTTGGGGAGAACAGCAGGGCCGCTGGGAGGCTTCGATGAGTGATTAGACAGGAAACTCTTAGAACAGGCACCCGGGCGGCCCCGAAAGCACCGCCTCTGTGTGGTCAGGGCGCTGACCTGAGGTGGAAGATGTGGGAGCAGGGCAGGGCCTGCAGGCGGCTGTTCCGCTCGCCGATGGACTCGCCGCACAGGCCGCAGTAGAGCTCGGTCTCCTCCACGCACTCGTGGAAGCGCACGACGTGGGCGCGCAGCTCCCGCTGCAGCCCTTTGCTGCGGTAGATGCCCTCGCTCAGGCAGTGCAGCTTCAGCTGGCCCAGCTGCGGCACGGGGGTTGGGCGGGGTGGGGGGACGAGACCAGGTCAGCCGCGAGCAGCTGCTCGAGACGATGTCTGTCCGCTCGGGGCCACAGGATGCTCCCTGAGACGCTGTCTGTCCGCTCGGGGCCACAGGGCACCCAGGACACGGGGGGCCTGTCCTGGCCGCGCTCCTGCCTTGCTGAGGGACCTAGGAAAACCGTCTGGCCCTCTCCCGAACCTAGCTTCCGTTCATGCCAAATGATGGGGTGGGTAGAATCAGCAATACTCCTAGAAGCAACTGGGGACCTCATGTTTTTGAAGGATTTTTATTGACCAGACCTGCTGCCTCGACACCCTTCCTGTTTCTGTTAATTGCATACCCACAGCAACTCAGCATTTCTGAAGAAGTTGAGATATTTGGGTAAGCCAGAAGGCAGGTCTGTTTGGCATTTTAACGGGACTGTGCCCTGACCTCTGAGAAATGCACATCTTCCACAAGACTCTGAGGCTATTTTCAACATTTAAAGGTTTGGATAGGATGATGAAATTTGAAGAGGCCACGTAGACTGTGGGAAGAACACAGGCTGTGGAGTTAAGACCTTGAGCACCTCTCTGAGCCTCGCTTTCTTCATCTGTAAAAGGGGGCTTGCTATACCCACCTTGCAGGAAGCCAGTGAGTCCTGGAACCCACAGCTAGAAGAGCCCTGGGGTGCCCGCCTCCCTATCAGTGGCAGAGTCTTAATGACCATCAAGAAACCTCTGAGGGGGGCTTCCCTGGTGGCGCAGTGGTGAAGAATCAGCTTGCCAATGCAGGGGACGCAGGTTTGACCCCTGATCGGGGAAGATCCCAGGTGCCACGGAGCAACTAAGCCTGTGCGCCACACGTACTGAGCACGTGCTCTAGGGCCCGGGAGGTCGCACCTTCTGAAGCCCAGCTGCCCTGGAGCCTGTGCACCACAGCAAGGGCAGCCACCTGGGCAGGGAGAAGCCTGTGCACCGAAACCAGAGAAAAGCCCAAGCAGCGGTGAAGACCCAGCGCAGTCAGAAAGAAAGAGACTCAAAAAAGAGAAACAAACCACTAAGGAATTCTGATATCCCCCGAGCTATGGAATTCTCGCCCTGCCCACCCCACCCCCCAAGTGCTCTCGGAGTGGAGGAGAAACAGCCAGGGTCAGGGGTGACTGGGGGCATCTCCTGGAGATCACGAAAGACTCAGGGCACAAGCAGGCTGGTGGGGGCCGTGGCCTCCTCCCCACTCACCCACCCATTCAAGATCCCACCTTGGGCTCCTGTCTCCAGACCCAGCAGATGGAATCAGGTCTGACCTTGTTCCCCACCTCCTCAGCCAGGTCCTGGGCTCTCTCAATGGCATCCAGAGCCTGGAAGGGGAGAAAGGCCAGGGCTGCAGGCAGGGCCGTCGGACGGAGGCCTTGGCTTGTAGGGAAGGAAAGGCAGGGAGGGGTGAGGCTGGGGAGAGGAAGAGGCTGGGGTACACAGGCCTGAGCTGCCTCAGGTTACTTGGATACAGAATGGGAAGAACATTCGTATCTCATGGGGGGTTTGTAAAATTTGGCTCTCTTGTTCAGTTGTGTCCAACCCTTTGCAACCCTTTGTTGCCTGCCAGACTCCTCTGCCCTTGAAATTTTCCAGGCAAGAACACCGCAGTGGATTTCCCACTCCATGTGAGATTGCAGGATGTAGTTCAAGCTTCTCAAGTTTCAACCCCAGGTCTGGCCCTTTAGGAGCTGGGTGATTGGGCAAGTCACACCCTGCTCTGAGCCTGGAAAATGACCTGGGATGCCCTGGGGTGAGGCTGATGCTGGACAAGGGGTCTGAAAGAGCCCAGTTGGGAAACAGACCCACACATGGTTGGTTGACGTGTGGGAGCGCTGGGGAGAGCTGGGGGCCGCAGGACAGGGGTCCCCCTCACCTTGTCCAGCGCCTTCCTGGCCACCCAGCACTTGGCCACGCCCAGCAACACCTGCACCTGCCCCAGGCGGTTTCCGATCTCGGTCATGATGCTCATGGCGGAGTCGTACCTGGGGAAGGCCGTCTGCGCAGCCGGGTTGGGAGGATGGATCAGGCAGGCCCAGCCCGGCCCGCACCGCCGCCCCCTGCATCCTGGTGACCTCACCTGCAGGTCCCCACGGCTCCGGTGGATGTCAGCAAAGCAGAGCAGGCAGAGAGCCTGCAGCGGACGGTCCCCGTGCTGCAGCGCGATCTTCATAGACTCCTGCGACGGAGCCGGTCCCTCAGGCCTGCCCGTCTGCCCCCCACCCCGGAGGCATCCTCGCCCTGGGGGCCCCTCTGACACCCTCAGAGCCCAGTACCCCTTTCCTGGTGCTGAGCCCCCGTGTACCGGACCACTGAGGACTGACACCCTGGAGACTGAGGCTCTGAGAGCGGAAGGGGCTCGACCAAGGCCACCGGTGAGGTTATTAAGTGGCAAAGCTGGGATTCCGACCTAGGTTGGTGGAACCCCAGAGACTGGCTCGCTTCAGACTTAAAATGTCCCACAGAGTGGGTATTGAGCGGGGGGCAGAGGAAAGCCCCCTCCGCTGGGAACAGGCTATAAGGGAATGAGATTTGGGGCAAGGGGAGCAGGCGCACCCTTCAGGGGCTCAACTGTAGAGAAGGGGGGCCCAGGAGCCAGCCTCGGGGGGCCTCAGCCGGCTGGGCAGGCAGGAAGAAGCCCCGGGCCCCGCCCGCCCCCTGCCCGGCGCCCACCTCACAGCACTCCATGGCGCTGCCCAGGTGGCCCAGCAGGCGATAAGCGACAGCCATGTGATACTGGCTCATGGCCCGGTACTTGAGGCTCCAGCCTTTGCCATAGTCGTTGACGAGCTCTGCGGCCTTGCAGGGGAAGAACAGGGCTTTCTCGTAGTCCTGCAGTGGGCAGAGGGAGGGGCCGGGATGGGAGGGCGCTGCTGAGTGCCGGGAGCTGCCCCTAAGTGGAGCGCTCCACCGCATGCTCCTTCGCTCATTCATTCATTCATTCTGGTGTCCAGGAAAACCGTGATCCAGGCAGACGGAACAGCCTTGCAAAGGGGTGGGCTCATGAACGTAAGGGTTTCCATCTGGTTTGTTGAGTCTGGCAAGGGCCTAGCACAGTTCCTGGCTCAGAAAGGATTTGTTGAATGAATGAATGAATGAGAATGAGAAGCAAGAAAGGCAACTGGCTTCTCCTCTCAGCCAGTCCCGGTTGGGCCCCTCGCCTTCAGAGATGCACAGTAGGGTGGCGGGGGGGCTGTCAGAGCCCACCCTGACCCCACGCTGGAGTTTGCCTCCTGGCGGCTGGGTCATCGCTGAAGGCTGGATGATGGATTGCCAGCAGTCAGCTCCAAGAACATAGGACAGACTCACTGAGGCAAAGAAATCATCCTCTCCCCCTTTCCTTCTCCTCAAACTTATAATGTCTTCTCAGCCTGCCATGAGCACATGACCTCACCATACACCCCGTTAGGAAAGAGAAGGAAATCAGAGCGGCTCCCTCACCCGCCTTCAAGCCCACCGGCCCTGTTTCCAGGGCCTCCCTCCTTCTCCTCCCTGCGCCCATCAAACTAAATGAACCCCTCCGTGCGGGCTCTGGAAGCGCCCTCCCCAGTCTCTCCCTACTGAATAATCCCATCACCGTAAAAACACAGTCTGGCATTTCTTACCTCACGTGAAAAACAGAAATAACCCAACAACCACCTTTGGCTTCATGTCCCATTCAACTATAGCCCCGATTCTCTGTTCTTTTTTGTAGAAAACCTACTTGAATTTTTATTTGATATCCAACAAACTAATATGACCCAAAGAGAGCTCTTGGTAACCCCAATAAAAACCTGTTTCTAATAACATAATTTGTACTGTTTGTATGGAAATACAAAAAACCTCAAATAGCCAGAGCAACCTTGAGAAAGAAGAATGGAACTGGAGGAATCAACCTGCCTGACTTCAGGCTCTACTAGAAAGCCACAGTCATCAAGACAGTATGGTACTGGCACAAAGACAGAAATATAGATCAATGGAACAGAATAGAAAGCCCAGAGATAAATCCACG